GAGAGAGAGAGAGAGAGAGAGAGAGAGAGAGAGAGAGAGAGAGAGAGCATGCGTGCACGTGCGCTCGTGTGCATGTGTGTCTCTAGCTCATAGTGGGACAAATTCTAGATTTCATGTTAGTCTCCAAAGATGCCGTTTTTTGCCTTAATTTTCCCTGGTATAGGTAAAAGCCCAGACTTGTTATATTTCTATAAGTAGTATATTTAATAACTATAAATATTCTATAGCAGTTCTAAGTTAAAATAACTCTTTAAAAAATAAAGGTCTTCATTATTTAAATGTATATTAAAATTGAGGAATTAAAACCTTTAAATATACTTTTCAGTAAATCACAAGTACCTTGAAATTCATCATTAAGGGTTTGAAAACATGAATTTAAAAATCCAAAATTTAAAAAAAGAGCAATACTAACCTTGATCTTATGGTTAGTGATAAATATATGATTTCAAAGTAAAAGGTTATTTATGCCTGTAAATATTCTGAATACTTGTTGACTTTGAAGTACATTAAACTGAACTGCTTTATCTTGCTATACTAAAATTTATGCTAGGTATGAGCAAATCCCTATTCTGGCAAATGAACAATTACTGTATTTGCTCTTTTTAGCTCATTATAACTAGATTGCCTGCTTATAAAATTCTGTAGAAACTGCGAGACATGATTATTCATTTAGAAATCCATCAAAATAATGTACACTGCATAGAGAAATAATTATGAAAATAGAATCCCAACTTGTAAGAATGTGTTCATGTGAATACATGCTTCCTACTATTGATCCCTTGGGAAATAATTATTTAAAAAATAAATAAAAAGACAAATTCAGCTTTTCTGTATGTGATGTTAAAAGTTTTATAGCCAGCCACAAAGAAAGGATTTCTTGAGAAGAACGTTAAAAATGCATTTTTTGATGGGTGATTCTGTTTTATAATTAAAAAGTATTGTATAGTTTGGTGATTAAGACAATTATTTAATACATGGAGTTAAATACTATTTATAAAATGTGTAAGCTTAAATACATGATGACAGAAGAGGTCATGTAGTTAACCATCTGCAACTGTATAAATAAGAAAAGCTCAAACATTTAAAAACTAGGTCAAAAGAAGAAATGAATCAGCGTAAATTGATTACCTAGATGCTTGAAATTGAAGACCAATGATACATTTCAACCCTAAAAGTTAGAAAACTGAACAGATCTGTCTCAGAGATAGAGCTAGGACTGTTTGATAAAGGTATGAGATGTTTTGAAATTATACCAAATACTCTAAAAATGGTTTAGGTGATTATCCAATGTATCTCAAATAAATTTAGCTTGTTCATCAGTTTTCTTTTGTTGTTCTGGAAGAAATAATGAAGTATCACAGCATCTTTGTAAAGTAGTAAATATTTTAAATGAGATGTGTTAAAAATCACAGTTACCTTACTAAAGTTTGGTGTGTGATTCGAGTTTATAAAATAGAATAGAACCCTGAGAAATATTGCTACTGCTATTGATTGTTTAATAAGCTAACTGAGATTTGCCTTTTAGAGTCATCCACCGAGGCATCTAAATTATGCTTACAGGCTAGATGGCTTTGTGTGCATGTGTGCCCCATTACTATGTCAGACTGACCAGTGATCTTGGCTGTTCGGAGGTCATCGGTCACAGTTGTCCTGAATTACTCGTTCTTTTTTCCTGAGGACCCTCTGCTGTGTTGCATGCTGTAATCTTCTTAATGGCTTCATTCCAATATTCACACATAATATTTTAGATTTATTGACTGTTAGAAATACTACCATGCCAGTAGCAGTTCCGCTACTCTTAAGGTATTTAAAATTGGAAAAATAAATCAGGGCAAAGCTTTCAAGAATCCTTTGTTTTCCTTAAGGGAGGGGAAAAACTCTCTTCCTGTCTTCTGACAAGAACACTTGTTTTTTGATTTCATCATTTCACTATTGTTTTGTATTATTAAAACAAATATTTTTATTGGGAGCAGCTTTAGTAATATTATTATATGATAGAACATTTAACAGTAGTAGATGCATTAAAATATGCCTATTTTGTGTATAAATATAGTTGACTATATTTTTAGTGACTTTGTAAAGATGCCTTCAAACATGTAGTTTGAATGTTTTGAATGAAATAAAATAACAAATTTTAGGGCTAAATAAATGCCAATCAAATAGTGTTCTGGTATGTTTAAAAGGATGGAGAAAATAACCATTTGATTTAAATGTAACATTTAAGACCTCAGATGAGTTTGTTTTAAGAAAATAGACTGGAAATTTCCCATTCCAAATATATACATAAGTGTACTTCTGAATCCATAGTAATTTAAAATATACTTCTAAGGCATTTTTACTCATTTGGATTTTTATTATCATTAACATTTGAAAATGTAATTTGGATAAGTGTTAGTACTAAAAAATAATTAAGTAATCTATTGGAAATTAAATTAGTAAGTAGAATTATATAACAAGATTCAGAAAATCTATCCTCATATGTATACTGAAGTTAACAGAAACTAACTCCTGTGTGTGGAAGCAGTTTAGAAATGACATCTGGAAATGGCACATCAGTTACAGCAGGCACGTGAATTTTGGCCTGCGTTTCTTACCTGTCTTTAAACAACTTTAACTCTTTGGATTTAACAAAATAACATATTCTAAAATAAGTCCTAGTGTTTATCCCTATTTTAGGCAAGAATATGAAGACATAGAAAATACTTTGCTAATAGTATAGTTAAAGCTTGAAATCATGCAGATTGATCCTCAAACCTATGCCCCAAACACTAAACTCTAGTCCATTGTATAAATATGCTACCCAGTATTTGAAATTTAGTGTAGAAACTTACTTGCCATTTTAATCTTATTAAGGAAAAACCAAATTTATGTATTCAATTTGAATTATTAACACTGTGTTTAAAAATTTATTTTCATTTTGTACATACTACTAGTGGAGAATAATTTTGTTTTCTTTCATGATTATGTATGGAAAATGTGTATTTAGGAGAACCATATTAATAGGTCACAATATTTAACAAGATAGTAATGTTTGATATAAAGCTTTTTTAAATCCTAAAACATTAGAAATTCCCTATTATAAAAGGATATTTTAGAAAACACTGCAAGTTAATAGTGAAGCTTTCAGGTCATACATGAAGGAATATGTGGATGGTTTGTTGTGATATGAAGAAATACAGGTTATTCAAATTAGATAAGCCTAAAAATTTGGAGAAAAGCCCTAGAATTTTGACCTTATATAAGATTTTTGATATCTAAATTGAAGTGAGTTTTTAGGAATAAGTTTCAAAAAGAATTAAATCAAATTTAAAAAGTACTAAAAATATACACCAAATTCTTACAGCCATGCAAGTTGTCAATAGATATGTTGAGTTCACTGAGTATTTCCTCTAATCTAAAATGAAGGTTTAACATGTTAAATGTCATAATATATGTTATAAAGAATAAAAAGGCCCCAGAGAATATTTATATTAGTTCCAGATTTGCTCCAGTTTGACATAGTCCTGTACAGTTAATGGTAAGTGAAGTCCCTAACAAATTTCTAGGGTGAGCATGTTAGAAAGGTGATATAATTTTATTCAGCTTATAGCAAAGTTTGTAATATATTTGATTTAGTTTTTAGGGTGGACTTCAGGAGAGACATCGTGCTTTCAGTTTGTCCCTGGAGAAATACAGTCCTGCACAAACGCCTTCCCCCTGGGTTCCTAGCTGCTAGGATTCAGACATCTGGCTGCATGTTGCCCTTACTGCCGTCCAGCCTTCACACAGCAAATGTAGTGCTGATGATGAGGAGTATTCGGTAAATGATTATCAGTGGGAAATTGTACTTTAACTTTTCAATTAGACATTTGCTTTTATTTTTTATAATCAGATTACTTTTTATTTTTTTTCTCCATAATTTTATTGAGAAACAAATAGCAATAAGACAGTTTCAGATCAAATTGGTAGGACAGTTCCAATAATTAACACATTGCATACATTCTTCTTAGTGGTTAATTGCTGTACAAGATGCGGACATGATATCCTATTTACATACACCATTAGAACAAATCCCTCTATTCATTAAGAGAATGTAACTATATATCT